CCGTGCAGAACAAATCCAGAGTCAGACCCCAGTCCAGCGCCGGACAGATGGCCCAGCAATTAAATATAAACCTGATTCACATCAACAGGCTCTTTCTTCAGCTGGAAAAAAAACGGGTTTGATGACTCACCTCCCTGACAGCTGTGCAGAAGAGCACGCGTGAGAAGCGAGAAAAACGAGACGTCGCTGCATACTTGACAATAAAAGGCAACTCTCCGCTTGCTGGAAAGCACCGCAGCGGGAGGCTGCCGGAGCATCCCGGGGGCGAACCGGGCTGTACAAGGCACCCCACCGCCCGCTCCAGCCAGCGCGTCACCAGTGGATCAGCAGACAGCAAACCCGCTCTGCTTTGAAGCTAAAGCCCAAGGGAGCAAAAATAGGGATACGCTCCAATCCCAGCAAAAATAACCTTGCTGTGCCCGCGGAGCAGAGCTGCAGTGTGAGGGACACGGGTATCCCCGGCACACGTTGCTGCTACGTTCGCAAGTGACACTCTGCATAGAGCAACCCGGGGGTCACTGATGCCAGCTGGGTGACCTGCCACCCCTCTGACCTCAGCTGGTCACCGAGCCTTACCCCCAGCGCAAACACCCCTGAGCCATTGCTCAGCAGGCGGCAAATTCTTCCGTCCCAGCCGGGGACAATGGGGTGCCCTCGCCAGTGTGACCCTCGCTGTGCCCGGGGCAGAGCCAGACCCCAGGGAGGAGGATGCTCTGCACCCCGCATCCCATCAGGGCTGGACACACGGCCGCTCCCACGCTCTGCAGCACCCGGCTGGCAAACACCCGCTTGCATCTGAACAGCCGTTTGCTGCTGCTCTGGTGTGTGACAGAGCCGTGAAATGGCCCGTTTTCCCCGTGACCTGCCACCAGCCCTTGCGCTGCGTGCCGCAGGCTGAGGCGCTCAGCAAACCGAGCTCTGAAAAGCAGAATAGATGATGCAATCAAATAACTTTGCCAGGAGTTAAATGGCAGATTAAAGTCCGTGTGTTATTTAACTGGTGAGCAGCCAGAGCAGCAGAGGATTCCCATGGTCTCCTCCTCTCCCGCCTCGCCGCAGCAGCTGCACATGTGGCCGCGATCACCCTCCAGATGCAGACAGCGAGAGGAGGTTAGGAAGCAGAGACCCCCAAACCTCCCAGACACAGACCCTCATCTCTGGGACATCAGAGCGTCTAGTGAAGCTTCAGACTCCTCATAACCAGGTGGTGTGAACTTTCTTCAAAAACTACCATCCCATCAGCATCTCTTCTGCAGAAAAGGGGCATGCACAGCCAGCGTGGCTGCAGCCCCCTGCCCAGACAGCCCCCGGGCAGGCAAGGACCCTGGCAGGCAGCCCCTGGGCAGGCAGGACCCCCGTGGGCAGCCCCAGGGGAGGGGGGGGACAGGGCGAGCACTCCCGCACGCTGCTGGGTGCCAGATCCACGTTTCACAACCTACGCGCTGGACTGCTCAGAGGCATCCCCCTCCTCGGCGGGGTTGGAGCCACCAGAACCAGTGTACACCTTCCAGCAAGGAAAAGGAAAGGTAATGGAAGATGTCCCAACACCTAAACTTGGGGCTGCAAAAGCCGAGTCACAGCGCAGGGGAAAGGTGCCAGCAGATGGCACCAGCAGCCAGCGATGCGCAGCCTGTGCCGGCACCCATGCACCGCACAGCATCCCGCGCACAGCATCCCGCACACAGCATCCCATGCACAGCCACCACCTGCATCCCGCACAGTATCACATACAGCATCCCGCACACAGCATCCCGCACACAGCATCCCGCAAACAACCACCGCCTGCATCCCGCACACAGCATCCCGCACACAGCATCCCGCAAACAACCACCGCCTGCATCCCGCACACAGCATCCCGCACACAGCATCCCGCA